TCTTTCACTTTTCTCAACTCTCAGTAGGATGACATCACTCCATAATCAGGTGTTCAATGTACTTAGTGAAACAGTACAAAAATATGAAAATCATTAGAGAGTTCACACTGTCCTCTGTCTCCCTGTACTAACTGCGTAGCAGTCTAATAATCTTTTCTCCTTCAGTGAATAAGTGAGGAGTAAATCATACAGGGAAACAGGGTATTGAGAGGAGATCTGGAGAAATAGACCACTACATTTCCATAAGATGAACTCCATCATTTTGACTCCACAGAAACAGTCGAAGTGGTAGATGAAGCGAGAGTTGACTAGCTTGCACACTTTCTCATTGTGTTTCCAAATTACAAACCTCCACATACACAATCATATGCTCAATTCTCCCTGTGTTTCCAATATCACCCCTCAATCGTTTCAAGGTACTCATCAGCCTGAAGGAACCTGAATGTGGACATTAATCATTATGATTCATTATCATATATTCGTGGAGACTCATGATCATTTACTTTGGAAATTTTGACGCAAGTGCTTCCATGTTATTGAGAAACGTTTACCGTTCTCCATAACGGGTAATAGATTATATGTAGCTCAATCTGTTCTCCATTGTCTCCCGCCAGCCTCGTCCACGCCAGAAAATAATTTTTCATATGCTCCATACACTATCTACTTCACGTACCCATAGGACGCTCAACCCTTCCTTTTACACTCATATTCCAGCCGGCGCCTCGATTAGCACATGATGTCACACATCTGTGTGCTCAGTGTATTCGAAATCCGTATCTTCTCCTCCTTTATATTTGTTGACTGGAAGGTTCCTGCCAGCTGATTCTATGCCAGACTCCCTTGCCGCTCATATTTTTAGGACATCTGATATTCATTATGAAGTGAGGGTAGCTTTTGATGAGATGCCATTCTTGACACACTGAGTATGTGTACCATTCAAGAGACTTTGATTGTCATTAGTTTTGACAATCCGGAGCATCTTCCTTGTGCTCACCACAGCAGATTTCCACTAGTTTCAAACTATTGAAGGTCTGTCTTGTAGCTCTAGGCTTGACAAGTATTCACATCCTCACATGCAGCGCTAGTAGCTCAATGGTCGACTCTCAGAGGTGGTCGGTTTTAGCGCCTCCAGCCATAACCTAGAAAATCGGCCAAGCTGTTGCAGAATCATCAATGCACAGAATACTGCGAGAGCAATATGCAAGCCACATTTATAAATGAATATTGATTTTGGATTTGTGATTGGCAGAATGAGTGGTTGTCATTTTGTGGAATTTTCAGAGACTTGTGTGTTTTACCGATGAAACTGCAGCAGCAGTTTTACTTTGTAGCTGTCAGTTGTTTGCTTATCTATTTGTCTACTTTGCCTTTTGCATAGAAACCATCTCCAACTTTCATACCTTATCCTCGCTTTTCTTCCTCTTAAACATGAAATCATATACAGCAATCTGTGTATTTGTGCTTTATTTCTACATTATGAACGATTTTCTATGGGCTGCAGTGGTTTGATAGATTACGTGAGTTGTTAAACTTGGACAGAAAACGATAGTTCAGGTAACTTTACAGAACTACACAAACTCTTACTACTTACTAGTGACAAGTAGTACAAAGGTAAATACGAGAGAAACTGTAACATAGGAAAGGATAGGTAAGACATGAATCAACAAAACTTCTCTCCCATCAATTTTCATGAAATTTTCGATTCAAACATTTCTGTGTCCACTGCAAATCAGTTGATCATGCCTAATTACATAACAGTGTTTTTTTGACATATACATCTAATTAGTGGAAATTCCACCTCAAACAAAATAAGCATATCAACTGTTCACCAGACTTACCAGCCAAAGTGACATTTAGTGGACTGAATTTGCCCTTGATCAGTGTCCCATATGACCCGAATCTGTGACAGATCCTACTTAACAGGAATAAAATCATGAAGTAATTTGTTGGATGGTGACTATCAGTGGAATGCAGGAAGCGGATTTCAGCCTATTCGAGAGTAACTCGTCTTCTGGATGTACCGGCATTCCCAGTGAGTGATTACGTTCCAACTAAGGCCCGAGTATAGTACACATCGTTTCGAACGCCGAAAGGACATTCACTAAACCAATTGTATCATGGAAGTCCCCGCCTGTAGTATCGTCTCAATTGCAGCCACCAGCACGGAGGATGATGATGATGAAAGAATCAGAATGGGAAAGTGCACGATAGTCCTTCGTCACTCTGAAATCATTTTGAAAACCTGCTGCATTCAGCACAAGGAGAAACACTCTAAAGTTCAACACTAATGGTCTGTCAGTCACCTGTTCTATATGGGTAGGAAAAAATTGTGCAGGAATTTGAAACCAATTCAGCACTATGGAATGCAGTGTTGTGAATAATTATGAACCACGTTCATCGAGTATAAGATGATGACACAAGCGAAAGGGAAACTCCATAATGGATAAGATTATATTTTGATAATCACACAGTGTTGTACAGTTATATTAACTGATGACGTTTCGAGCAAAAACTATTGCTCATAATCATATCAAGTTGATATGATATCATACCACAGTGCCCAAGTTTTATACTTGCGTCACGCGAAAGGGAAGCTCAGCAATGCATTTCAAGTGAAGCCAGCAATGATGGCAGGCTAAGATCATCATTATCCAGGATCTTCATGTTTCCAAGTGATTGGACAGTGTGGCTGAACATAGTAGGATGGAAGACTATTTGCGGAAATCAATCAGGCGATTGTTCACTCACACGGATGATGAGTAATCCATGTTGAATGAAAAACGAAACATGAAGAGCAAATACCAAGTTGTGGAAAAGGCAAACCACCTGATTGATGTTCGACGACCTTATCAATTCTATCAACTCTATGGAATGAGATATCTGGTGACAACCATTATACGAAGGTTGTGACGATTGTTTGACTTATCCTGCAGTAACCTCGTTTCCCAAGTGGCCGAATCGACTGAAATGACCTCCACAGAAATCGTCAATGAGTCGACAGCTTTCTTCCCACCTTCCACACGAATGAAACCATTGTTAAGTGCAGATGAATTGTTGGCAGAATTGTACAAAACGGTTACACGTCGTACAGAACACTCTTGTTTCCCTCACAGTATAACACCACTGCTTCCAGTAATGAAATGTTAACAAAAGTACTCGCAGAAATCCATTCCAATTATATTTCTTAAATCAACAAGTCAAGCTGAATAGGAATGCGGGGGCGAAAAAAAGGCTGCATCGCATAGACGAATGGATCCCATTCAAACGAGCAATAATTCGAAAAATATGCAGCTTCACGATTGCCTACCCATCAAGTTCACAACACACAATAACATGCCATAAACACCGAGAATCGCAAAATCTTCCGATCCATCAATCCTATGATATGATTCATTATCGCGAATGGATTTAATATAACTTTTGCGTTCAAATCAAAAATGCAGTCACAATTAAACAATATCTCAGCGATTCATAATGTTAATCATCGCTATCATAACTTGGAGATGTTGTTTGCTTCAGGGTGCTGTGCAAACCGGTGGTGGAGAGTGAATGTCCCACTGAGAATTCAAGTGAATAATAAATGACATTATATAATCAGAATGAATTCCCCTTTCACTAAATAAATATATATTTACCGTTTATAGAAATAAATTTATCTAACCACGAATTACATTTTGATGACATTTGATGCAAACGAATTACTTCTATTTTCTTTTCTACAGCAATTCTAAATCATTTCTATACATAATAACAAGATTAACAACAACAGTCTTGATTCCCCTTCATCAAGATTTCATTCACGTGACGCTGATATCCTGAAGTATTGTGATATTCCGTATTATTATATTGTTATTATTATCCTCTAGAGTGGAAAGTAGGGATTCAGGGACACATCGCTATTTAACTCTTTTCCTCTGAAATTTTTCAGCTAGTTCCAGGATTGACTATGAGCTGTCATTTCACTCCTCCACACAAGATCTTCTTCATGTCACTTTGAGAACTAGACACAACCCATCGTTTCCCACTAGTGTTTCATTCAAGGGCTGGACTGTGTTCCATGGTGTTACTCAAGGGTTTTGTTAGAGCATATACAGTCCATCTCCATTTCTGTCTGCATGTTTGTCGGTCGATAAGTTTCTTTCTTGTTCGTTGTCAGACCTCCTTCCAGGCATCTGATTTTCACTACTGAGTCAGCGAAGGCGACGGCTTTTGGTGGATCTCTGCAGTAATCTGATAAAGCTATGGTCACTTCATTCCAACCTGCTCAATAAAAGTTGTTCTTCTTGCATTGTTCAAGTTTGTGCATGTCATCTGTTTATTTTGCATAAAATTAACGTGTAAAAGGGGAGAAGCATCTCTGTGTCTTTTGGTTTGATGGCTGACAAAATCGTCCCCTGTTTGTGTGTCAGCTCCACTAAATTGCTGTGTGTGTGTGCGTGTGTGTGTATCAGTATGCAATTATCCCTTGTGAAATACGACAGTTTGAAATCATACACGCGTCGGCAAATGCACACTTACTTACATCAGTCGCCTTCCTTATTATTATTATGTATGTTTAACTATTGTGTCGTCTTCGTCATTGTCCAATTCACTTTTTATAATATACGGAAGACTTCTTACAATATTTTTATGCATCATAATCATCAAAGCCCTTTGAAAATACTCCCTTGTCCTTTGAGTATTATGAAAGGCGCCCGAAATATACTACGATAATATCAAGTGCACGTGAAAATGGGGAATAACATGAAGGCATTTCATGATTTCCGGGCACTGTGTACATCGGAATTTATTGCTAAATTCATAATATATGAAATAAAAAAATGTCTTTTTTCGATTTTGTTCTCCTGTCCCATTCTAAATTCTTAGAATTTTCCCTCCCATTTAAATGAGCAACCAGTAAGAGTTTTTATGTAAGTTCACCATATCGACAGTAATTTCCCTTTTTTATCATGACTAGCTGTATTCCTCCTATTCGTGTTTCCGTCTGTCTGTCTATCTACCTATTTATCCGTCTGTGTCTGCCTGCTTGCGCACTTTTCAGTGCATCATCATCATCATCATCATCATCATCATCATCATCATCATCATCATCATCATCATCATCATCATCATCATCATCATCATCATCATCATCATCATCATCATCATCATCATCATCATCATCATCATCATCATCATCATCATCATCATCATCATCATCATCATCATCATCATCATCATCATCATCATCATCATCATCATCATCATCATCATCATCATCATCATCATCATCATCATCATCATCATCATCATCATCATCATCATCATCATCATCATCATCATCATGTACGTTCGACACTTACAAAGTGGAATCACTTGCACAGTCTGCTTTGTACCATTTCGTTTTCCTGATATATACACATGCATTATAAACATTCGTTACAAATTTTGCTCACCCAGACACAGCCAGCCTCATAAGTATCTCCTATTTGCTGCAATTTGTCATTTTCTTTGTTTCACTTCAGTGTAAAATTATTTTCGCTTTGCATGTGAAGCTTATGCTCTCCTGGACACATTTGGCTGGAATATAAGTTTTTCAATGAAAATTTAATAATCTCATCAAGTAGAACCAGAAATCAGTATCAAATAATCTATGCTCGTACAACCAAGTACAGGAACTCAACGATGCCATATTTGGCCAGTGTTCTAAGTGACAGAGACAATGTTAAGCGCGAAACCTATGACAAGCTTTGTTTTTAATAACATAATTTTAGGCTCTTTTATTTCTCTCTCATTTTGTATTCTATAGTGAACTCCTTCTTAAACATACTTAGCTACCTAAATTATTAACATTGGCTTGCTTTTTTGTACTTTATTCGATCCCTTCTTTTGTGTATCTACTGGTTCCAACTATATAAGCACTATGAGTATTACGAAATTGTCCTGTCATTAACCATCATGTAATTATTAGTTTTTGTGGTTGTTTTTTTTTTGTTCGGCAGTATTAACTGACAATCACTTGTTGTGAACGCCATTACCATCATCTCAAAATTTTGTATTATGCAGGATTACTCACACTACCACTACAAACACTGCATTAGACCTGACAATAAAAACAAAACAACAACCCTAAAATGTTATTTTATGATTGTTTAGTGTTGTTTCAACCAAATTAACTGATCATCTTGGCGATAAACATTCTTAAATATCATTTCATAACTTCTTGTATGACTATAGCTTTACTGTCACCGTGCATAATAATATCATAGCTTCCACTACCCAATACTGAGATATTATTATATGCTGTTTATTTTCCTTTCTACTTCTTTGTATTTTTTTCACATTTTTAAAATTATTTTTGTGTTTTTTTTTGAGTTTTTTTTACTGTTGTTGTCTTTATTTATTTATTTTTGAAATACTCCTTTTAAACGTTGTATAAAATCAGATGTAAATATTGTAGATATGTGCTAAAAATTCCACACTGTACCACGGTCAGCAGTAGGGCTATATGGGCATATTTAACAGGTGACAAATTTTTATCTTAGTGAATGAGTTGTCAAAGGACTAGTCTGATAATCTGAAAGTTGCCCAATCCCTAGTGGAGGTGTGCATTATTGAAGTTTCCTTAACATTGACGAAAGAGCTGTCCAAAATCCTCCCACTTTCAATGACTCCGTAACTGATGTCGGTCAGTAGTGAAATCTAAATTGAATTTTTGCCACTAGTTTTCACACTCGAAGGTAAATAGATTTTCTGGAATACTAATTCATCTGTGGGAAATCATTTTCGATACGCTGATAATGATAACTGCTCTCTTCACTTCCTCTAGAAACAAGCGAAACAACCGCCTCGAGTTTTGATTACTTGTGTATTTTCCGATGTGATGTAAGTGACCTTCAGGCATTCATACCAATCAGTAGTATCTTGTAACTTGTAAATTAATTTCAAACTCAGAAATTTTAAAAAAATTATACTGAAATTTAGAGAAAGTTTTATAACTGATGGGGTCTAACACGTTAGAATATATTATTCATTCGATTCTGAACTACTCTCAATAGCAAAAGAGTAGTATAGAGAGAAAATGACTTCAACAGTATTTGTCTCCTGAATATTGTTAAACATATTATGTGGTTCTTGTTCCCGAGAAGTCGATCGGACAACACATTTTTGGCGCTTCAACCATGTGTGCTTTATTGTGGCATCCACTGAGGACACAATCACTCATCAGGAGTCCAGTCGCTATCACTTTGGATTGGAATTTGAATTCTAACAATAATTAGTTCAAAATAAATGCAAATTAACAACCAAACACAACCAGCCAAATTCGCCCGTGGAGTGAGTGAGTTATAAGTAGGCTTTGCAGTTAAACCACCCGGCTGCCTCAGAGAACGACACAACAGTTCCACTTTACCCTGACATATTCAAGACTGTTCATTTTCAGTATTCTGAGACAATGCAATATGTGATCACTTGAGGGAAGAACAGTGGCAGTACTGATCTAAAACTGTGTTACATTAACAACTGGAAAGTGAGGTCTTCTTGAAATAAATACCCTGACAGTTACACGTACATACATATATATGTGTATATACAAATATATACATAACTCATTTGCCTTAGCAAGATGTAACGCAAATATAGCGAAAATCTCCATTTCGACAATTAGAAGACAAAAAAGATTGGGCAAAGATCATCCCTTTTGATAACTCGTTCATCTAACTTCTACACATGCATACACATAACCGTATTTACAGGGTAATTATTTATCGAGTAATGTAATAATATCGAGTTATTAAGAGGATCAGCTGAATTACATACAGTTCAGAGAGATGTTCAGTAGCGATAATTTGCATCAAAAAAGAAAATATAATCATAAATTGAATACCAGACAAAATCTACGCGGCAATTGAGACTTAAGTGTTAGCCTTTTACATCCAGCTGAAACATTACGTCGGAATCCTCTCAAAGAAGCCGAATTTTTGTGTGTTTAGAAAAAGTTCGTACAGCCGCTTCCTCCTCCATGTCCATCTATTATTACTTGATTTGAAATCTGATAATTTCCCTCCCAACCTTTTTCCAATAAACCTTTTACAAGTTACTACTGTTTTGACTATCCTAAATTGTCTCATTAATTCTTGGCCTAATTTTATCTGATATTCATTCAGTTTAGCATCACTTTTAATGCATAACGCATATCACACGTGCACGTACATGATTTTGAACTGTAATTCCATTGAACCTCGTCGTTACAAGTCGATGTTAATAAAACAAATCAATAATGTGATATGTTACAAACACACTGTCTCCATTTCCTCTCTTGTACCCGACTTTATTAACAGTGTTGTCCACTCAACCATTTCAGAGAAGTGAATCAATTGAAATCGCCAGAATTTCAGCCAGTCAGCTATTGGTGGTATCTAACTACTGAAATACCTCAATGAGTAGTATGTGCAATCGTTGATTTATGTTTCCCTCATTGATTGACAGTTACAGTATCAAGCAGATCACATGTGCTGTGATGGAATTCCATCTCTAACTATGAACATGGAGAAGAGCAAACAAATTTATAAATTGCATATTTGCTTCCCTGTAGTACCAGTGAACCCACGAATTTCTCACCTGAATTCGGGTGTTTTGAACTGATTCCATTCTCTGACTTGGATCAATGAATCTGGGAATGCTTCTGATGAGCCCAAAGCACAAACCAGAGAAACGGCCATCCAGCCGCAACATCAATTCAAAACTAATGACTGGTGGGAGTGGCATTTAACGAAATATGTCGTGCGTCGGTGGCACAGTGGTCACCAGTGAAGTCCAATCAGATGTCACGTATATGGATCGATGTCCCACCAACGACAATCGTTGGGGTCGCGCTAAATCACCATTAGGTAGAAGTTAGAATTCATGAGCCATTGAATCGGGTGCCAGTGGCTGCATGCTATACCAGCTTGCCTGGTAACCGGTAGGTCCTGGGTTCGAATCCCTGTGGGTACGTATTGCCGATGATTCCCAAACTAGGATGAAACAGCTGTCCAATACTACCTGGTTTTCAATGGTTCTCTAACTGATATCAGCCTGTGATCAACTAGTAAAAACATAACTAACCCTTACAAACCGAACTATAGAAAATACAACATTAATCTGTGCAAATATGCGCTTATATGTTGTGCGCCTGAATGTATGTGTGTGCCTCGATTGCGTGGAGAAGGTGTTAACTCATGAGTAATAAACTACCGTCATCGTTCAGGAGCTGAGCAAATACAATAATATAACGCCTTCATTTGTTGAATAGTGATCTCTTATAAGTCTGGCACTTCCCTTTCACTTATTGTAATCGTTGAAGTATACTATATAGTTGCTCAGGCAGAAGAAGGTGATTCGAGACCCTCTGGATCAAAGGTGAGTGGAAAAACCAAGAAAAGATACAGTCTTATGGAAACGCAAAACCGAACTATCAACCTTCACCTCCTAACAACCCCTCGATCATTTCATCAATTAAGATCATCCCACGCCCATTCGAAATGCATCTGTGTATCATTCCTCATATGATGTGATCGTCAATTTAACTTCCACCAACATTGCAACATTTTCTAATATCGCGGAAAATTAGGGACTACCATCCTTTTCTTCCATCTGTCCAATCTACCTATATCGATACATGAGTAGAATATGGGCGCAATCTGATACAGCATAGTTCCAATATTGAGTAGTTCTATCTGATTAGACCAACACGCTAATCGATGGCAATGTTTCGAGCTCAATTTATCCCTGTTCGTAAGCATATCAGGGTCCTCACGCAACCTATCTTACATTTCACTAATATGAATCCATTGTTTCTCGTCTTTCGATCTTGTCGGTAGTAATGCTTACTAAATCTCTGAGCGAGATATCGTGTCATTTTTATTGCGCATATCAAACTAAACTGCGTGTAGAATAACTGACTTCGGAGTAGATGAGTAGCTTGTAGTAATACTCACCAGCTGAATAGAACGCTGGCGAACAGGGAAACAGATCTGAAGAGTGATGTGAGAAGGTGAATGGAAAGATTGACCACTGAAATCCACTTCATTTGATCCAGTCACTTAACACACGCAGTAGAAATTATGTCACTGCAATGAATACCAACCAGCAAACCGGAGAATATCACCAGCAATCAGATTGAAGGATGAGGAATAGTGGAACCGTATAAACGTAATATGAGGTAGACTTTATGAATAACTTGAAGTCATTCTGTGTATCAATAAATTCCACTGGGAACTCCTTCAGTTAGTGAATGATGCTGTATCACTCCGTGTGTGTGACTTATCAAATAAAATTGCCCCGACATAAAGTCACAATCCCTACCACAGTGCTTGAATTCCAATCTCATATCAATGGAAATTATGGTCCTCTTACCACGCAACCTGTCGAAAAATGCATCACATGAATTTGTCAAAGTGAAGTAGAAACCATTCGGAAACCATTGATTTGTCAACCTTCGATGATTCAAGTAATTACATCATAACACACTGGTATGATTATGAGCAGAAATCAATTGTACTCGAAATGTCATCAGTAATTAGGCATGTGAGTAGGTAATAATGCATCACTGTGTGTATGTGTGTGTGTGTGGGTGGCTATATCAAAGCGAAGTATGTCACCATGGCATTGCACTCATCTACCACATTCTCCTCAAATTCCATTCTCATCTAAATGGCAGCTGCTCTCCAAACTAATTTGTACTTCTTGAAAAACATTAGAGGAAGAAATGAGATGAGAATATACTCCTCTGTCGTAGTCGATAGTCACACGTAGGCGAAATGTCACACCGAGCACGTTGGTACTTGTGTCTGTTTTCTGCACAAATATTCTCATCTTCTCAGTGTATCTGGCACACATTCAGTGTATAAACTGTCACTGTGTTTGAATACTATCACTGCTGTGGGGTGCAGGTGCATTTGTCTGTCGAGTTGTAGAATGGAAGGAAACACGTGTTGTGCATTGTAATTCTGTTCACCATATTCTGTTGAATACGAAAGCAATCGGTATTTAGTGGTGTCATGGAAGGGTACATGCTGAGGGATGGGGAGAACTAATCAGATATATTTCAGTGAATTACGCATTAAAGCCAATCTTTTATTGAATAAAATTACTCTGTAATAGGGAATGTATCGATTACTCATATTTTTCGATGTCGTAGGCAATTGGCTGCAAACTAGCCACCTTGATAGAAGCGATAAACAGCGATATTCAGTGCCTAGATATTCCTTTCTAGATTCGGGTGATTCAGGTGACGAGCTCCAACAAACCGGAAAGAGATTGAATATGGAGCCTCCACATTAAAACAGTTTGTGTGTATTTCGGGTCATTTCAAAGTAGATTTCGTGGTGGTGACGCTACATATGTCGTGTATTGGAATTCCATCTTAGTCACGAAGCCATATTTGCTGCGGATCCTGACTTCGGTCCCTGATGATGGAATTTATGTGTGTGACAAATTTTGATTATTATCTGGCTGGAACAAAACACATCTCCAGTGTCGTTCGGCTGTTAGTATTTCCCTGGCTTCTGCATTGTTTCGCTGAATACAAATCTACATTGAAAGACCCTCACAATCCAATGAATTGTATTCAACCTTCATCATTTTGAAACATCTCATGATTGTGATTATAAAGTACTAAGCGTTTTCTGGTATTCAGTCAAACGTGATCCGTGTGATATAGTTATTTCGTTGACACTTGTCTGGAAACCACATCCAACTTCTCTCAGTATAACATACTCAGCTGTCAGATTACGAGTAATCACTTCTTGCAAGAATCTAATCTGTCAGAGAGTGAAAGGATATATGTAGCATTTGACCACATCAGCCTGCATGTATCAGTTCTCCTACATCTGCAGACAAGAGTATAATGGCTATACTCACCGACTGCCTCATAACCCACCTTGAGTCTAATATCCCCATTTCAACAACGAGACTTCTCGAGGTTTAGTGGTGGACTCAACAAAATCCTGGGAAACATCAACGTATCAATCAGCGTATCAATCAGATGAACTTACAAATGAAGCGTAATGAGAGGATAAATTATCCTTCCTAGATGTCCAGCTTTCAAGCTGAGCAGATGGAAGCCTATGGAGATCAGACTGCCGCTGAGCAGCAGACAAACTGTCACAGTTCCTTCACAATTATCAGAGGAAGAAATATCGTCTTTAACAGTGCTATGTTTTTTTTGCCTGTTTTTGCATCACATTTAATAACATTATGTGACGTTTAATATTGTACCTTCAAACACTAAATTTTTCATTCATGTGAAATTTTTATTTTTGATATTATCAGACCATTTCATGTTCATCTATTATGCTGTTGATATTTCGTTTCCGGTTAATCGCATAACTGATGGTCTGCAGCTAAATTACTTGATACATCGTGTTAAGTAGAACAATAAATCTTGTAGTATATCCAACGGTTCTGGTTTCAATATAGATCTATTTTTTTAATCATTATAATAATAATTTGCTTTATTCCAAAACAGTACTTGTGATACAGAATGGAATTCTCAGCATTTTCCCTACAATATTGCATCCAGTTAGTACATTATCAATAAATAGAATTCTACATAGATTAAGGGTAGTCTCAGTTCATTATGACAACAACATATTGCGATGTCGATAGCAAAGCCAAAGTTGAACAGTGTTTGAAGGTGTTAGAAAAGTAGGTGCTACCATATTTACTGGCGTAAGCAGGAGAAAGAAACAAAGCAGCACATAACGGAAAAAAGAGAAAAAAAGAGAGGAAAGGAAAAGAAAGAAAGGAAATGTTGTACCTATAAATGATATGAGTTGGAAAGACGAGGTCCAGTTGTCCTACTGACTATTTAATGAATTATAGGTATCACGCCTAATGCTTTCTTTATCACACAGAACACGAGCTAAGTAGGTTATGGTTGAGTTTTTGTACTTGCTGATGCGAGCATATAGTTTCCTGTATAGGCTTCTGGCTTTTCCTGATGAGATGCAAGGGGAGAGTTGTGAGTGAAGAGGGTGGTGTGAGTTAGATCAAATGGACTTGGCCCATTTTTCACATGAGTCCATGTGCCTGTCGACCAGAATATTAACAAGCTGGTTAAGTGGCACGTTGCTTACCCTGCTGACAACCTTTAACATCCTGCGTAATATATTATAGTCTTTCTTCAGTAGCCCGGGAAAAACTAAGGGGGAAAAATAGAGTATAATAGGCAGACTGCGAGAGTTAACGAATTGAAGTAGTAAGAGTTGGGTTATACCACAATGTTTTAACTTCTTGATGTAGAAGGTAAGACGGAATATTTTCTTAGAAATCGTCAAGATATGAGACGACCAGGAGAGATCAGCAGATAGAACGACGCCTAGGTATTTAATTTCCGACTTGGTTTCTATTTCAGTGCCATCTATATTGCACACCTCGTGGGAGCCAACCAGGTTGTTTAGGTCGCATTCATGCCTAAAGGTGAAATTGACTGTTTGGCATTTGGAGGGGTTTAAGGTAAGACCGTTTTCCTTGGACCACTGGCTGATTTCTGGCAGAAAGCCATTTAGTTTAGAACAGTCACTTTGACATTTGACAGGCAAAGACACAGTCAGGTCGTCAGCATATTTGACAAAATTAATGTCACTTGAAGATGGTAAGTCAATGTAGAAAGAAAGGAAGAAAAGAGAAGTGGGGAGAGTACAGCACCTTGGGGGAGAACAGTTTCAATTTGGTCTCGTTTCCAGTTTTAGGCTGACTGCTTGGAGCGTGTGTATCTTTGTTGATAATTATTAGTGCTGTGGCTGTAAGAATCATTTTCTTAATTCCCCATTTGTTCACTCTCTTCATCTACCATTCATCTTATTATTGGATACTTGTATCGAAATAATTTGATGACGCGAACAGCATTCTAACCCAGTTTTCATTTGTAGGAAATGCACTCTTACATATGAAGGTAATTATATACAATACGATCGTACAATTGTGTTTATGAATTCCCCCAAAAAAAGAGACTCTTTGCCTTAAGTGGTTTCGAGTGAAACAGTCCAGTTTAGTGGCACATAGCCATTTCACTTACTTCACTTCAATCGTTTATTAACCAGCTGTCAGATTATCCATAAGCTTTCATGTCCTCAGCACACGATGACATCCGTGACACCCTCGGACCCATATCGAACTTGTCGTTTCACATTCTGGCTGGTACAAATCGAGGGCCTGGTTCACAACATCACTCAGTGGTAACCTCAGCATGTGTTTGATTCACATGCATTTCCTTCAGCACGTTTGCTGAACGACTGGTTCTTCATCGACATGTTGACACATAAGTTCAGAGGCTAGCCAACATCATAACCTCAATAAACATTGACAGCTTAAAGTCTTCAGCAAAACATTTCATTAATATATGTCGAAATATATATCTACATATATATTTATGTACATGTTTAAATTACTGTGAGTACGCTAATGCATTCACGTGAATACAGTTAATAAATATATAAGTCTCAATATCATTTACTGACAATCAACACGAGTGATCACATTCGAAATAAGCACACAAAATTTAAAATTAAATTGTGCATAAACATTATCTCTCACAATGTGTCTTTCTCTAGAACAAGGCTCAGTAATGCATGATATCAGAAGACAAATATAAACGAATTGACGGAAATAGACTGTCTTGGAACTGCTTTTTCTTTTGAAAAATGAAATCAAAACAAAACAAGTGACAACTGCTTACAAATCAATCTTTGATAATGGGTATATCAATAAAGAGAAAGCGTTGGTGTACACAAAACTGAATATATAGATAAATGTAGCCATCTAAGTGTATTCACTTCCTTTCTCTCTTATGTAACATCAGAGTAATGTTCCCTCTTGAATGTCAGTGATTTCATTCTGAGCACTAAAAACATCAGGATGAACGAAACTGTTGAGATGACTGTGATGAAAATGTGGAACAAATCTAATATGACTGGCGTCTCACACATTTTTGAAAAGAAACAAAAAAAGAATTCGACAGAATTTTAAAAACATCATGATTTGAATGAATTAATGATCAAGTTTTTAAAATAATTAATTGATGCATATATATGATAAAACCGATCAGTTCAAAAGATTCAAATAAACCAATCACAGACATACCAATCCACAATCCCATATTACCGCCAATATCAGATATTAGTCGAGACAGTGGGTACTCGTTTTCTTCGAGAACTAGTCTGCCACGGGGACTAACACGTTCTACCGTTAATAGTGCAAAATTATTACGTATTTGATAGAGAATATGTCGAAGTGCTGATTCATTTCCAGATATCACTGTCTTGTATTTACTTGGATCATGTTTATCACTGTTATGATTATCATCATTATTAATACTAATTTCCTCCATTCGATCACCACGAAATAAACTGAATACAAAGTCACCTCTCGCTTCATTATACGTATTACCCCATAATTCTGGCATGGGGTTACTTACTATACTGAGATGATTATACTTTACTTCATCACAGTACGGTGTGTTCGCGTAGTATTCACACTGTTTAGCTCCTTTCAAACTCATATATACACCAGAATTGCTGTACGTTTTGAAAACACGGTGCATACAATTCACATTTTCCACCAATTGATAGTCACTGAATACTGACATGTTTAAACACAAGACTGGCTGTGATATTGATCCATTGGTGTTCGTATTATCATTATTATTATTATGATCATTACTATCAGTTATATTAAGTAAATCAGGGAAATAACCATACGGGAGAAATGGACTATAACAATGACATTCTTGTAGATATAAATACTGGGACAATAATCGATGGCATAAATCTCCACCAGTATCATAAATTCGACGTTTTGTCACCAGATCAGCGTCGTATATCATTGCTGAATACTTTTCTCTACGACACCGTCGCTTTTCTTCGTTACGTTGATGACGTACCATTTCTATTTGTACATGATGAATATATCCAGGGGTTAATTCAATAACTCCTTTTACAGGGAAATGATTTGGTGATGTGATGTAGACATCAATTATGTGTGGATAGTACGAAGAATTAATAATCAAATAACTATGGAGATTAGATTTTAAATAGAATCCAACTTTTTCTATTCTCTTCATTATTGATTTGTTTAAATAACGCGCAATCTAGGAAAACAAATAGAACTATGGCAGCAATCATTTCAAATGAGAAAAGCATGATTGGAAATATCGGCACGGATTAAATCATCGGAAAACTTATAGTTGAATAATCGGTTGAAATAGCAACTCTTGAAGGTGTCATCTACAATATCAAACGCAGGGAATTCAGGTTTCTAGTAGAACCTCGTTTACCATTCAGCCGCTTATGCAGCGATTCACTTAATTCTGAAATCTTATTTCAGCCAGAAGCAACTACATAGTTATACGGCTGAAGAATGCACGCGGTCGATGACGTCTTACCTCTGGAAACAAGAAAGTAACTGGTCACTAGTCGTCTGTTTTAGCACTCCAGCCAACATCCCTCTCCTAGAACGGACACTTCCATGACACCACTGAACACCGACTACTTTTGCATTCAACAGATAATAGTGAACAGCATTACAATGCACAATACGTGTTTCCTTCCATTCTACAACTCGACAGACAAATGCACCTGCACCCCACAGCAGTGATAGTATTCAAACACAGTGACAGTTTATACACTGAATGTGTGCCAGATACACTGAGAAGATGAGAATATTTGTGCAGAAAACAGACACAAGTACCAACGTGCTCGGTGTGACATTTCGCCTACGTGTGACTATCGACTACGACAGAGGAGTATATTCTCATCTAATTTCTTCCTCTAATGTTTTTCAAGAAGTACAAATTAGTTTGGAGAGCAGGTGTCATTTAGACGAGAATGGAATTTGAGGAGAGTGTGGTAGATGAGTGTAATTCCATGCTGAAATGGTTGATTTTTAAGTAACACAAATACTCAGTGATGCTGTTTTGATAATTGGATCAGATTTCAAACAAAATTTATTGTTGCTCATGACTACATCAAGAAGATAGAATTTGTTTTTCACGAAAAATCATCGAGCGTTGAAAACTCAGAGATTAATTTGGACCTCGCTTCAATTTGACATTGTTATGCGATGATTGATCTGATGAGCATCCCTAGTTGGAAGACTGTCGAATTATTATCATGAGGCTGTAGTGATTGTTTGCACAAGGTCTTTTGGTAAATAGTTCCTTTGGAACCTGATACTTTATGTTTACCGATAGAAAGTATGTTATGTTTTCATAATCTGAATGGCGGATAACATTTCGAGTTATTTCACCAATATCTTCCAACCATCCCAAAGTCTCCAATCAGATAGCCTATACTACCATACTTGCTTAAATGAAAACGGTCAAAGACATTGTCGTGACTTAGTTGGTCCATCACTAGCTGATTTTCAACCTACTCCTATTTGACATACATTTTTGGAAAAACATTTTTAACTCCTAACATAAACAGTTGTGTTTTGAACTGGCACGTTCACTGAAAACATGCAGTTCTTTTCTTTCATTCAATGCATTCTTAGTGGAATATCCAGAGGGATTCTAGTTCTGAGCTCTGAAGCTTCCGTGATGTTGCTTTTAACCTCACATGGAGATGTTTCTGGTCTTACACACCTGAAACTCACTCTCCTACAGTATTACTATCGATAACTAAATTAGTCGACATTCAGGAGTGTATCATCTGGGAAACGAAACGACATAACACAAATTATTGAAACTCTAGTAGACAGTAGTTACCATCATTGAAAGAAATCTGGGTTAAGTCATGTCTCTCACTTTCCTTGCTGGATGGCATTAATCCATGTACAGGTATGTGGCACGGATGAGGATATCAGGAAAGCAAGAAGACAGGCATTTATTACTCTGAAACCAACGTGGCCACCTTCAGGAACTAGTGCATGAAACAAGATCAGAATTTGCAACACTAACATCAGGTCAGTCATGTTGCATTCTTATTCAGGGTGTGGGGCCATGCCTGAGCAGAGATATCTTCAATAAGCTACTGTTTATTTTCATGAACACCTGTCTCCTTGCATTCTCTGGGTTGATACTGAAGACCAGATGGCTTGCTAGAAAGTATAAGTTAACAACAAGAAGCACTGATAGGCAGTAAACTAATCAGGAATAATCCCTTTCCCAGAAAATATGCAGAGAGAAATCGAAATGCATGGATTGAGTATACGCTGATCAACGCTTTAAGTGACAATGCATGTCAGGTCTTCAAGTTAAACCTGAGTTGAGATTGTTGAGTTTTGCTTCTGAGTGTGATACGAAGGAGACGGTGAGAACAGGAAATGTTAGCTTGTGGACAGACGTCATAAAGCTAGTGGAAAATGACAGTAGAGTAAACTATCAAACTGATGCTTCTTTTCGAAAGCGTATGTTCCACCGAGATACTGAGGAATCTACTACATACATTACAGAAATTGCTAGTCAGATTCTACGAAGCACATAAAATAACCGCAATTATCTTCGTACTATTACTGCTATCAACTTACCTGAAAATTGTGACATGGTATATTATAATGCTTTTGTAATATTTGTGTATAGAAATAATTTTTCCATGGTCTCGGCATTTCAGTTAATTTCACATCCATGTCTATTGTCAGTCGTATCCCTTCATGTCTATCCTCTCGAGCGATAAAATCAAACATATCCTCTACATTGCCAACATTGAATCTCCAATGAGGTACACTGGAACGTACAAGTGACTGGAGGAGAATCTCATCAGTATCGGCTTCATCAATACTACTGAACAGATCTTTCGGTATATGATTCACTGTTGAAAGATTTCTTGCCCGATTGACATAGTGACTCCACAGTGCTCGTCTCTCCTGCGTATTTAAATCATACGGTGCCATAGCATTACAGAAAGTGATATCTGGCCACACAAATTCTTCATAATCTTCATAGTAACTGGTCAAAATTGGATGTGATAAATAATGTGCTACAACATGTGAAAGGTTAGTCAGAAAACCGGCTACACCAGCTAACCATAAGGCGAACCATATTAATCGTGCACAATTGTTTGATGATGTTGAAATATGCGGTAATCCGTGGATTGTACTCTGTTCGAGTAGACGGGAAATACCCTTTCGAAAATGATGAGGACTTCTGAATGTAGTATTGACAGTATCATTAGAAGTAGTATGAATATGACCATGTGTATTCATTCTAGTATTCATTCCACTTATTTGTACCCTTTACAATCTCTTTTTATGTCTGCTTTATGGCATCGGTAAGTGCTTATCTGGCGAGTATAATGTGCTAGTCTACTTTTGTGTAATCCGAAATTAAAAGGAAACCACGTGAAAACTGTCTATACTGAGTTAGCGTTATGATGTGATTTGTTTCAGTGTGATGACGTGATGAATATGCGTGTGTGAAGATATCTGATGTACTGTGAGGACCTACAAACTGTTTTAAACAAATTTTATGTGTGGGGCAGGAGAGTGGGTGGTTTAATGGTGAGCTACTTTTTGGGTGAGCAAAATTGTTTATTCTCATAATGTTTGGATAGTTTTTTGAGAAAAGGAGAATTAGGCAATCAGAAAAAGTTGACAAATTCAAATAAACACCACTGGAATGTATACATTGGTGTATACACATTGAATAGAGTATGTAAATACATTTATATGCTTAAATGAAGCAAAATCAACGATTGGTGTAGAATATGATTGTGGTTTTGGTTATTTAGTTGGCTTTCCATCACTTGTGCACGACCTTAGGATAGTAATCAATGATGTAAATGTACAAAGCAATTTCAACGTGCTTGCGACGGTTACATGATACCTTTTAACACGAGACAACATCCTCAGCATAAGCTTCAATATGAAGTGAACTTGTCTGGATTCTCCAAGAATAATATAACTGTATCTCCTGACAACCGTTGTTGTGATTGTTTAATAATTTGAAAGGATTTGAGGGTGACAAGTGTATGACATGCATGAAACTATATATATTTTTCATTTCTGAGCAACGTCCATTAATTTTGGTTTATCTCATTAAGTAGCTTCATTTCACCTTTGTAAGAATCTTGTGTAACTTCATCTATCTAACAGAAAGTTTCTTCGTTTATTTGCAGCTGGAGGAAAATTGACGAAATAAAAAAGGGTGTCACAAACTTTTATTTCTGCTTTATGCAAACTCCTAAATAGGAAGGAATACGTGCATGAGAGAATTTACCAGTGGCTGCTATATTTCGATATTTTGCCACTTACAATGCAGTATTCGTTTAGAGATTACATTAGTGTAGTTCACTTGTTCGATAAAAAACGACTATATTCATCGAACACTTCAAATTTTGAAAAATGTAAAGTGGTCAAAATATCCGTGGAATAATAGATTCGCATTGAAGAAATAATAATACTTATCGTTTCAACGTAGGTTTCATCACTAACACTTAAAATTCCCTGAGGCGATGGACAATTGTCCCCTTCTCTTCTGATAACTTTCAACAGCTCGCACACATGACACCTATCTGATATCGACAGTTTATGGAGTATGATTCCTGGAGTTCTAATAATAATTTGTTAGTCGATTGTGTGAAAAGCGGTTATTTATCAGCGATATTATAAGGCTGTAAATTTTTATTACGAATGCTGTTTTCCGTTATTCGTATTATCACATATCGCCTCACTTTTTCATCCTTATTATTTACAGAACCATTATTATTGTCATTGCTACTATTATGACTAATTGCACAATTTATATTCACCATCTTATTATCCTATAGACAAAACACCATGATTGGTTTATATTTGAATTTTGTAAACTTATGTATATTAGAGATAAGCCTGATGAGATCTAATTGAAAGCACAATATTGTTCGCCTAAATGTGTTGTTCTTAATCTTCTTTTAGTTTGTGATCTTACTGTCACTACCATTATCAAACAGGAACTGTCATTAACAATCATGTAATACTATGTTTATAATTTTTGGAAATGTTATTTCGATAAACTTAGAAGCAACAATGTACCGAATGCTGAGAATTCCACACTGTAACATTAGTACTGTTCTGAAATAAAGGCGTGTTTGCGCGATGGCAGGCGTAGATGTGTAGTGCAGAATGTTCTTCAAGCCACTTTAGACAGCCAGCTTTGGAGGATTCCACTCAACGTACCCTATTTTAATTTCAGATTTACTTTAAGTGATTCCCTCAGCACATCCAGGTACCGCAGACGATTGGTCTTCCTCTTAAAATGTTTGCCTATGAAGTTGGCTGGATATCCATTTTTGATTAGATTTGAGCCGAAAGGTTCCCTACTCTGTACATAGACATCGAATAATAAAGCGTGAAATGGCAGTCAAACATGCGCCTCAACTTCATCGATTTTGAAAAGGTATTTGAAATTGTAGACCACAAAGTAATTTGGAGACCGCTTCAACACTATGGTGTGCAGCGCCCGAAATTTTTGTCAACCTCATTCAACGGCATGTGTTGGGTTACGCACAACGAAAAACTTAATCAGGCAAAGATAATTGAAATAATTTGGCCGCAAGCTGAGGTGACCATCGAATTACACCGCATGTCAGGTCACCTCTCGAGTGGAACCCGAATGAAAAATAACGAATTCGTCGAGGGCAATTATGACATGCATGTGGTCGTATGAGGAGGAGGTGAGACACTATGGCCAATAGCGGAACCAGATTGCGAGAACCGCAGAAAGTAGGATAAAGTTGGAATGTGCTGTTGAAGCCCAATTTTCCAATCGACACCAAGGGAACAATAGTAACAGGACAATGAAAGATTCCAATCTCATACTCTGTATGAATTCGGAGCATATTGATTAGGACGTTTTCTCATGAGTGGCGACGACATTTCTTACTCTGAAAATTGTGAAGGAACTGTAGCAGTTTGTCTACTGCTCAGTGACAGTTTGATCTCCATAGACTGTCATCTGCTCACCTTGAAAGCTGGGCATCTAGGAAGGATAATTTATCCTCTCATTACGCTTCATCTGTAAGTTCGTCTGGTTGATTCGCTGATTGATACGCTGACGTTTCTCAGGATTTTGTTGAGCTTATCATTTTCATCGATGATGATGATGAGGGTATCATCCACATGCCCACTAAACCTCGAGAAGTCTCGTTGTTGAAAGGGGGATATTAGACTCAAGGTGGGTTATGAGGCAGTCGGTGAGTACAGCCATTATACTCTTGTCTGCAGATGTAGGAGAACTGATACATGCAGGCTGATGTGGTCAAATGCTACATATATCCTTTCACTCTCTGACAGATTAGATTCTTGCAAGAAGTGATTACTCGTAATCTGACAACCGAGTATGTTATACTGAGAGAAGTTGGATGTGGTTTCCAGACAAGTGTCAACGAAATAACTATATCACACGGATCACGTTTGACTGAATACCAGAAAACGCTTAGTACTTTATAATCAGAATCATGAGATGTTTCAAAATGATGAAGGTTGAAGACAATTCATTGGATTGTGAGGGTCTTTCAACGTGGATTTGTTCAGCGAAACAATGCAGAAGCCAGGGCTGCTGCTGCTGGATTCAACATAGAACTTGGCACCGAAGTGCAGCAGTTCGAGTTGCCACGTTCCAAATAGCACACAAAGGTAGACAAGAAGATGGATGAGTGAAGAGAATCAATAGAATTTAGACAAGTATAAGAGTGAAACAGAATGAGTAATGGTAGAAAGGAATATGAAAGATTACAGAGACTGAATACATCTGCGCCATTGACAACGATTTTGAGCCATGTCACCTAGTGTCTCCAGCCATTAATTCTTAGAGTCCCGAGGGCGGGCCCCAACCCGGAAGTCTGCATCTCCCTCCCTACCTGACTGACTCAGTTTAACTGTCAAGGATTTCATGGATTGATGAGGCCATGTTTTTGTTTGGCCACCACTTACTCTTTTCCAACCTGCACCTATATCAGCTAGTAATGCCCGTCGGGGGGGGAGGCGATGGTTAGGCATGCGCAGCACGTGACCTAGCCATCTCAATCTATGCAACTTTATAGCCTCTTCGATTGATTTTCCTTCTTTGCCCAACACTCTACGCCTAACGTCAACATTACTTACCTTATTATACCACCTAACGTGAGAAAGAGATCGTAAACATCTATGATCAAAAACAGACAACCTTTTCATGTCTTCAACTCGTATTGGCCATGTTTCAGAGCCATAGAGAAGGACGGAGCGAACTGATGAGCAGTACACACGTCCCTTGGTTGACAGCCGGATGTCACGCCTACGCCAGAGACGGTTAAGTTAGCGAAAGCAGCCCGAGCTTTTGGATCCGTGCTGAGATTTCGTCACCAATCAATCCGTTGGTGCTGATACAACTTCCCAAATAGGTGAAGTGGTCAACATGTTCTATCACTTCACTCCCTATCACTAAGCTAGGAGTTGACGTAGTCCAGTCCTGTAGCAGCATCTTACATTTCACAGGGGCGAATCGCATGCCAAACATACGAAGATTGCTGCTCAAGGTGTTCAGAAGACTCTGCATTTTATCAGCGTCCTCCCCTAACAGGACTATATCGTCTGCGTATTCTAAGTCTATAAGACTATTCCCTGGTAACAAGTCGATTCCTAAGTCTTTAAGTTCAGTTAAGGATACTTCCATTAGCATATCTATGATGAAGTTAAACAGAAAAGGGGAAAGTGGACATCCTTGACGGACACCACTGGTTGTTATCAATTCAGATGACAATTCCCCATAAGCCCTTACATGGCTACGTGAGTTTGAGTAGAGTGCCTTGATTAGTGCAATGTACTTTCTTGGCACTCCCTTCACAGTCAAACATTGCCATAGTACCTCTCGATCCACGGAGTCGAAGGCCGCCTTCAAGTCAAGAAATATGGCAATTGTTGGACGCCTAAAAGTGTGCCTATGTTCTAGGATCTGTCGGAGAGTGAAGATATGATCTATGCACCCTCTACCTGGCCTAAAGCCCGCTTGATTTTCCCTCGTTTGTTCCTCCCGAGTTCGGCTTAGTCTGTGCATGATTACTGAGCCTAGGATTTTAGAGACTATGTTCGTCAGGCTGATTCCTCTATGATTATCACATGAGGACTTGTCTCCCTTCTTCAATATTGGTATAATAAGTGACTTACCCCAATCTGATGGAACCGTCTCTGATTCCCAGACGTTACCTAGTACCTTAGTTAAACTACATACTAGTATGTCACCCCCATATTTAAACACCTCCGGA